GAGAGAGAGAGAGAGAGAGAGAGAGAGAGAGAGAGAGAGAGAGAGAGAGAGAGAGAGAAGAGGAGGAAAGGGAGGGAAAGAGGGAGGGAGGGAGAAAGAAAGAGACCATCGTCTCCTGTTTATTGTCCACCGTGCAAGTGCATTTCAGCGAGGTATCTCGTTACACAGATACACTTTATAACTCGCAATAAAGCGAGACCTCCATATTATCTGTTTATCGTAGTATTTGATATAAGGTACTCTTGCGTAATAATTAATCGACATGAGTAACTCGGTATTTTTTTATAATATATCACAAGGATTTCCTATTTTCCTTTTAATATTCAAATTTCGTACGAGACTTTGCCAAAAAAATGACAAATTTTTTGCGCCAACTCAATAGTTACTAACTAAATCGCGACCACATACACACACACACACACATACACACACATTAAATTAATTAATGTAGTCACAGTAATTACATAATTTTGTTTAGTCGACTCGACATTCGCTCAGATAAATTCTGCTTGTCTAAGTGAAATTTTGTTAATTTCGCCATTCCGTTTTCCTCAGTGTATAGCTGTCGACGAAGCTTTTATTTATGTTTATACGTTATACATGTGCGCAGGTGGTAGACAGCGAGAGAGAAACAAACATCGCTCGCTTCACGGACAAAGCGTACTTCCCAAAGCGGCCAGATTATTTCTACAGGTTAGTAGTTAATGTTTACTCACCGGTGAGGCAAGACGCGCGACCGGAAGACGCGTGGCCGCATCTGCATCGCGTGTTTACCATCGAGAGAGAAAGAGAGAGAGGGGGGAGAGAGGGGGAGAGAGAGGGGGAGAGAGAGAGAGAGAGAGAGAGAGAGAGTCACCTGTTTCATCGTTTTGCTATCGGCTCTACTGCTGCGTCGGTGCGCGTTATCTCATTGCGTGCTAGCAAAGGAGGTGGTGGCAAAACTGCAACCGCGATAAATCACCTTTATCGAGCTCAAGGTGGCGGGTCGAGATCGAGGTTGAGAACGGGAGCACTGTTTCGCAAAAGTGAGGAAAAGCTTGTTTTTCTCCGCGGTATCTCGGTGTCCGCGAGCCGAGACTTCACGCCAGACAGACAGACAGACAGACAGACAGACAGACAAAAGTATATCGAAATCATACTTTGCATAAACGCCTAACGTTGATTGCCATAATAAGGAACTCTGCTCTTGATGTCATTTTAAAATTAGCGTGTATATAATTGTTTAATATAATTATAAATTAGTTATATTTATTGTTCTAGAAGTGAAAAAAATCCATAATAATATATTGTAGAAGGAAATTACATATACGGTAAAGAACGTTATGTATTTGTGTTAAAATCGATTCGTGTACAAATTTTTATGTTAAATTTCTCACTCTTGTGTTAAATTAACATATTGCTGTTGTGTTATTTTGTTATTATGTTATTTCTGCGTTGAATTCTTATTTATCATTTCAAAGTTTCAAGATAACACAATTTATGCGCAACGTGTAGATTCTTGTTGACATATTTTATATGTCAAGTGCACACATATACATACAGATAAGTTGTGTTATTTGTTAACATATTTGCCTTGTATTAAATTAACACAAATATTAAAATAGACAAATTAGGTCATTTGAAATGTGTTAACACAAAATTTTTTTTGTAGTGACTTACAGAACTGAAAAAAATAATATTAATGCCTGATTTATGAGAGTCAACTATTGTTGTAGGAGTTTTATAATTCATTGTAAAAATTTGCTTCAAAGTTACATAATATAAAGAAACGTTTTGGTCCATTGCAGACTCTCTTTAGCTTTAAATAAAGTTGACAAGTAATTGGAGTCAAGTCGAATTCTATCAACAAATAAATGTTCTATATGGAAAATTGTCAACGCAAACTTAAAACGTAATCTGTGGAGGAAAACAGCCGGATAAAGTTTACTTTCTAATAAGTCACATATGTCCATTAATGTTGGTACCAATCGTGGCAATGGATGCGGAGGATCTTTATATAAATTTGAGATTAATTTTTCTAATAAATTCTAACACTCCAACAGTAATGTTTGACTATCAGATATTGATATAACTTATAGGCTAGATATAATTTAAAAATTTATTATCATTTTGCATCATTAATTTATTATTTGCCGCACAAAAGAAAACTTTTGTGCGAGTTAATTCGTAACTGGCGTGTGGAACAGAATTTTTTTCGCGCGCCAGGTACGAGAAAACTGACTTTTGACAGTCAATGTGTCAATGTGTCATCCGTAGCGAAGAGGAGGGCAGATTAAAGATCGATGAATGTGTTACGTTTCGCGACATGTTTTGCTTGTTAAAAATAGCGAGAGATACGCTAGGCAGGTATATTTCTCGACGCGGTGGAATCGTGACTCTCGCGAGGGACGAAACTTTTTCGAGGGCATCACGATCCGTTCGCATTCGCGGAAAGTTCTTTATCGAAAGGACCCTCAATGTTCGGTCAGGACAATGTGTGTGGCGCGCGTTGTGCGGGAATATATCCTTTGTCGTCGTCGCGATTGTGCCCACTTCCGTGGGAATTCGCGGAACGGAAGTGCAATTTCTGGTTGGTACGAATCGGTGGCCAGCTTCCACGCCGCGAGCAACGCGAAAAAAGAGCGATCCTTAAAGAAACGGTGCCAGGTGCAGAGCCGCTCGCGCCTTCTCACAAATACCTCGTGCACAAGTTCGACGAAACCGTGATACTCGTGGCATCGGCCTTTCCGACTCACGACGAATATCCCATACACAGAGAGCATAAACGGAAGACGATGGCGGCACGCACAGATCGGCAGAGATGCCGCAGGCACAACTTTGATTAACGAGCAGCGAGACGATTTTCTCTCCCGATGACATTATATATTGATTCTATATAGAAAAAAGGAAAGAAATGTTGCATTCTTTAAGAAAAGAATTTCATGTGCTGTAATTTCATAGTTAGTATGCTTATGTATTTATATGCAGTAATTTAAGGCTCTTGCATTTAAGCTCCTTGAAAAGTGGAACTCTTGATTATTTAGTCAGAACGTTAGAAATGAGAAAATTCGCTCAAAATTCCTGCAAAATTAACGTGACATATAATCTTCGTCTTTAACCTACCTTTTCTCATGATTTTGTTACGTTAATTTTATGATAATTTATTGATTGTCGCAGCAAAAAAGTGTTCAAATTATTTTACAGATCTACTTGATCAACTATATCATTTTATGGATACATCTTTTTATTTCTATGTATTTTCTCGCTTCTAACATCATAAATCAAGATCCTATAGATCCTGTAGATCCTATAGATTCTGCAGTTGATCTTACAATAATTTTAAGAACTATAGGATTTTAACTCTTGAGTCAATTTATGACTCATGAATGCCAAACTAGAGTTAATAACATTTTAAGTTCATTTTAAGATGCTTTAGAGTTATTTCATTGGCTAAACAGTATTTAACTGGACCATGAATATTGTTCTTAGAGACGTGTAAAAGACATCCTACTTGTTTTAAATGTCTCTAAAACGTACTTCAGATATTTGTGCTGCCCGTGCTTTTGTGTAGAGAGATATTTGCGGCACGAGGAATTGCAATGTGTTCAGCCGAGCCGACGCGTGTATTAAGGTCGCACAAGCAACTTTACAGAATAGTGACCGGTCGCTCTGGGACAGATGTTTCATCTCGCGCAACTTACGCCTAACGAGTTGCAGTAAACACACGAATATTATAATACCGAGCACGCGCGTCTGGAGTTACTTCTCTTTGTTCAAGAGACAGGAGAGGGAGAGGAGAAACGAGTGAAATCTCGGAAAAAATGCACACACGCTCAGAATATTTAATAAATAATGCAGACACGTATATATTTTATTCTATCTTTTTTCCATATATTATTGTACATATTCTTTCTCTTGTCTTCCGTAAGTAAAATATCACTCGAGTACTATCGCGTGCATTGCACGTTCCCATGGTTAAATATTTAAAATAATGTCACGCGATGCTACAAAAATTAATGTATTATTTGGGCACCAAATTGTTTTGTTCTATTTTACCTATAAATTTCGATTTACTATAACTTATATGAAAATTATTTTGGTTCTTGCGAGGGACATCTCCCACAACTCGCTTGACTAGAATTTGTACAAATAAATAATTTCCTTAATAATCAATTAATATAATCGAGTTTAATCGATATACTACTGATTTAATCGTTTGAAAAATCGCTAATTTATCACATATATTTATAGGATTTGAAAATTGATCGTTCACGTTATTCGCGTAATAAAGATCGAACTTTCTTGTAAACAAACGTACGAATCATTCTTGTCTTTCATATCTTCTCGATCTTCCATAGCTGTGGAAGATGAGTTGTTAATTGTAAAATACAAAATTTCATATCGTCGATGCTAAATCTTTCTACGATCTATCTACTATAATAGCTCGAATAATATCACGATAGAGACTCCATATATTTGATCCGTTTCCTTTCTTTCTTTTTTTTTTAATTCTTGTCTGTTTATTCTTGTTAATTGCGTCTGATGGTCACTTTTCTTGCGTATTCACTTCTGCTGCCTCCTTCGGCTGCTCCTCGTGTGAATCACATACCCCGTTATTCAACTGCGCGGAATCAGAGATTTCGTTTCCGTCACGGTCGAGTTTCACCCATTCGTAACGACCAGACAGCGGCACTTCGTTCTCGAAATCGAAGTTCCACTTTTCCTTGGCCTGCACATCAATAAACATTTTGATCTTGTAGTGTTTTGACTAACTTGTTTCGCGTAAAATCACTTTGTTCGTATATAATCTTTTGAGCGCTCTGTAGCTAAATGATTATTCGGGACGAGAAATATTTTGGGCTTTCAAAACGTGGAACAAATAACTTCTTGAAAAATCGAAAGCGGTGGACCAAGATAAGTAAAATTTTTTGTATTACTGTTGCTAAAATATGCAAAACATCCATACAGCAAAATATATCTTAGAGACATTTTAGAGATATAATTTAGACATCTTTGGGACATCTCTAGGATATATTTCAACATATATAAGCTATATGAGCATATATATAAGTGTCTTTCACAACAGTTGTAATAAAACAGTTGTATTAGGTTGATTAGATTTGTCACTTTTGTATTAAATTCTATATTCATTTTATGTTAAAGATTTGTCATTTTTCTATTAAATTCTCGTTGGAAGTTTGAGTATTAAAAGGAAAATAGGAAGTCCTTGTTAGATTTTTTAAAAAATATCGTTGATTTTAATTTTACCCATAAAAATGATTAATTCTGCGAACTGGATAATTTTGTTTTTTATTTACTTGACAAACATGACAAACTTTTGCATGAACTTAATAACTGTTGCTTGTGTTAAAAGTACAAGGCTAAAGAATTTGTCACACGTATGTGCAGGGTGTCTAACACGACGTGTACATCTGCTGTGCAGTTAAAACTTATCAAACTGAACACAAAAGTCCTTTACCATCTTGTAAACCACGATAATTAGACTGTCCTAAAGAGATCGTCCCATTCGCCAATTTTCTTTAATTAATATAAGAAATTGAGTATTTAAATTTACTATTTATCTAGATTGTATTTTTTTTCAGCAGAAATCACAGTGATATCAAAATGATATCAAAATAACGAAAAAAACTCACTTTTCGATCACGATTCAAGTATTTTCTCGTTATTTTGATGTCATTGTGATTTTCTACTTGGTTGTATGTCTGTTGGTACTGAAGTTTTGTTTTTAACTTAGAGAATAGAACGCATTTTATTGTGCGGGCATTTTATTGTGTTTATATTCGTGCGACGTGCCACTGAGAGAATAGTTAGTTAGACCACTTGATAACTGCGTAACTGTGAAATTAAAGACAACAAAAACAAATTTCATTTTGATTATTTTATCCGTCACGTCAATTGCCTACATTAATATCTCAATAATTATCATAGTTGTGTTTGCAAAAGTTAAAGGACTTTCTTGTTTAATGAGTTTTATCTGAGTGAGTTTATATGGGTTTGTGTAAGCCTAATCAGTTTCATCCGTTACATAAGCGGGCGCATGTCAGAGACACCCTGTATACGCGTCTACGGCATTCAAAAGACTAAATCGAGACGGAGGGTCGTTTGAAGTCGCAGCGATTTTGGCCCGCTCGGATTTAATTCAGCTTATAAACGAGAGTGAAAGTGAAAGATAGGAAAACATCTGTTTCTATTTCTTACATTTTCTAGATTTCGTCGAGCTTCTTCGAACAGACAATTGGCAAAGTTGTCGTTCTCGCCGTTCGTTTGTCCTTTATTGTTTTCGCTGTTTGGCGACTTTGGTTCCTCATCATCATCTTGGAAAAGTTTTCTGCACACGTTTCGGTGTTTAACCTCTCCTCGTTGGTCAACGTTCTTTTCTTCCATCATCAGGCGGGCCCTTGTCAGAAGAGTAACATTTTTTAGTGATGCGTCACGATATAGACGGAAAACACTTTCGAGTGTCCTCTCGAATTTATTAAACGAATTTACCAAATTAGCTATTATAATTTCAGACAAGATCTCTTGGGTATTAACCCATTATAGCCCATATTAACCATAATATCATTGAGACATATACTTTATTTCTCGGAGAGAAATAATGGAGAATAGAATTTTCATACTTGGAATATGGACGTTCTCGGGATCGCTGAATCTGAGATAAAAAAACTCAAAATTCGAAATGACGGGTCCAATATGATGACCATAAGTTTTCAAAATTAATGGCTCAATGATTCAAAATTAATTGAAATTTTTTGAAATTAATAATCTCGCTTTCAACATATCTCGAAAATAATGACAGTTCTACGATATGAAGAGGGTATCTTTGTATTTTTAACAAAAAATTTTATAGCAAAAATATTATTACTTCAAAAAGTTAGTTTATTGTGAAAAATGGGAGGATTACAGAAAATGTTGAAAAAATGTGTGAAATACTGTTAGAGGAGATATCCTGAATAAAGTTTCCTTGTCAATGATTATTTTTGAGGAGAGATTGAGAAGTGAATTTGCTATAGTTTACCATCAAAGGAACATGTTCCCTCTAATTGGTTGAAAATTCGTTCATGTGGAGTCAGAATCCATTCTAAGCTTGTGTAAAACATTCACTCTTGCGATTTCGAGTAGCAAAATTTGTATTGCTTCGGGTAAAAATACTGCCGCTTTTCATTCATTTTGAGTGAGAGTTTGTCCCAAAAAATTTAGAGAATATTTACCATCTTATTACCGTCGTTAAAATACATAAAAGGACATTAATATAAGTACCCAAACAAAATAATCGCGTTGATAACTGTTACTTGTGTCGAGAATATAAGGCCCGATCCACACTATCGGTTCGCTCATGGTCCGATCAAATATTCTTCCATATTTATAAGGTACGTATCCACACTATGAGTAACACTACAGTTCTGGTCCGGTCTCCAGCAATGTTCCTTCGAAAGAATATTTTGCTAGAGCGTGACCGAACTTGTCCGGAGCTGTACCGATAGTGTGAACAGGCTTCCGATCGATTTTTCAATTTTTGACAATATCATTGTCAAAATGTGCCTGCACTCATTCGAAAATATTTGACAAATTTATCTTCATTGTCTACTAAATGGGAATATAATGTGAAATATCCTTCTTCAGTTTTTCTATGGATCAAACTGGGATGAACATAGATCTTTTTCTTATCTTTCTTTTTTTTTACACTTCTCACTTTCTCTATCTTCATCGCCTATCTATCTATCTATCTATCTATCCAGTGCCATAGCAATTATGATGAATTCTTTATCAGAAAATAGCGCCATTTTTCGGGAAAAAATTTAATGAACTTCACGATAGAAGGTAGAAACTATACTGATCATTTGGGATTGGATCGTGAGTGATCGTGACTCGATAGTGTAAATACTCAAGGAATATGATTGGACCGTGAACGAATCGTGAGTGGAGCATGAGCAGACCAATAGTGTGGATCGGGCCTAAAGCATCCTCTTCTTTTTTTAGACATTTTTCATACGTGTTAAAAACATCTAAAAAACGTTCTCTCTTTTCAGCATCTTTTAGACGTCTTAGAAGTTTATACTGTCTCGATTGTTTCTGACTTTCGTATTTATTACGAACGAACGTCATATTTAGATAGTGTCCTTGGTATCTCTGCGTAAAGCCAGCAAATATGACCAAACCATTAGAAAAGTTTTTTGTGAAATAACAGTACTAGATATTTTTTTTTATCGTGGAAGTGATATGCGACCGAGTTAGAGATATGACACTTCACGTTTTGTAAACAAGCTGGCACACATCGAGTCAAGAGTGTAGGTCTTGGTGTCCGGACAAAGCTCTCTATGTATGCGAACGGCGAAAGAGAGGAAGGAAGAGGAGAAGGAGAAGAGAGAAAGAGAGAGAGAGAGAGAGAGAGAGAGAGAGAGAAGTGTAGAAAAGAAACTTGTTTCGCTATCGGTATTGGGCGGATGTATCGTAATACATCTCACTTCCAGCACAGATTATGATTCATATCTTGTGTGAGCTCTTATTTTTTTAATCTGTATTTAAAATAACTATTGTTTGAAAGCTGAGTACTTTGCCAGATATTCCATATTTTATATTTTTGACGTATTCTAATACATATTAAAGGCTGAATGTTTAGTAAAGTATCTGTTTTTTATGTCTGATTGATCTTGCTTTGATACTTTTATGTATGAAATGTTTTGCAAAATATATAAAAAGAAATAAATACATAACAACTAGATAATCTAAGTATACGAATAGAAATAATATTCAGGTACATATACATACACGCGTGCGCACGCACATATACACACACAATACCCGAAAAATTCGCACGAAAAACTTATACTGAGGTTTATCCTAAATAATCAGAATGGGTATTATCATGAATTAATTCGATTCAGAATTTTATTCAACTCAGTATTGACTGTACTAATTACGATTTTTCGCACATTATCGAATAATTTATTTTCAAATCGTCCTAAGCGCATATCATTTTCTTTCCTTTCATCACGGAAACGACAGAGTTCTTTGATATTTTATTCTTGCAATATCATGTATAAATAGTATCGTTTTAGATCGAGATTCTCTTATTTTTTCATACATTCCATCTATACGCGCCACGCTTATAATCTATCAAACAGGTAGTACAGGTTTACAGACGCCTTTCCCTGACCCACTTGCTCCAACGTTTTTAACGCATTCTCGAATATTACGTCGGGAATTTATCGTGACGTTACGTTTCTCCCAATTTCATATGATGTAAACAGATCTGAGATCTGTTTACTGTACTTTACCTCCTACTATTCTACGTTAATTTTTAGCAGTGACCGCAAAGTTCGAAATAGCTTATAAGATTTAAGACCAGAAGTAACAGAAGTTTAGAAGACTAAATCATTATTTTAATCTAATAAGTTAGTCATTATTTAATCTAATAAATTTAGAGGACTAAATCATTATTTTACGTGATGAAATATAATTTTTCGTCGCTGGTGATGAATTTTAGGATGCAGCCATAATGTATATTAATGACTCAATGACTTTACTCGCTACTATAGTAAAAGTATATAAATACTTGGTCTAGATATATATGTCGTTGATACGTAATACAGAACTACTTTTGTTGCGTGAGCTACATCTGTAGCTAGCATCGTTAGCTAGAATAGCAAACTTTTAGTTTGTATTCGACATGATCATAACAGATAAATGTATTTTACTATAAAATCGATATAATAGCAATAGCAGCAAATACAGCTTCAGCAAACTTTTCTTTCCGCGTACCAGTGTGACCTTCGATTTTATCTTACTATGTGTTTTCTATATTGCGTGCCTTCATCTCGAGGCTAAAGTTATGTCGAGAATATCTTACAGATATCATAAATGTCTAAAAGACGTTTTAGAGATGTCTAGTAGATATTCTCTTTGTTTTAGATGTCCTTTAAATAAATGTCTTCTAAGGTATTCATAGCCATATTATATCTATATAAAACTTTAAATATTTCCTGTATATACATATATCCCCTATGATGTGCAAATAACTGTACACTGAGAGAAGAATTTAGTAAATATTATCAAAATTTGGTTACTATTACTAAATGGTAGACGTAAATATAGCGGGCCAAAGCTATGGCAATACTTATTAATTAATTTAGTTCTGTAAAATAAATTATTTATTTGACAGAAGTAAAATTTATTTGATTCCAGAATATATTTGGTAAATAAAACTTATTGAATAATTGAGCAAAATAAGCGATTTTGTAATAGTTACAAAATTTTTGGTAGGTCAACCAACCATCTGTAATAATAGATATTGAAACGATGTAATAGCTGTAAATAAATGAATTTTTCGTTGTGCTGCAACAAAACATACTTATACTGGTAACAAAATAGAACTCGTACCTATTGAATTTTTTATTACATGGGATATAACAATTTCAAATATCTGTTCATAACTATAATATATTTCATATTAAATATTTTACATTAAATAACTATTACTAAATTATTTAATTGATGTTACTGTAAATACAATTACGTCATACTCCCAATCTATTAAATATTTGGCAATTATTATCATACTTAGTATTAGTTACTAAGAATCCAACGAATTTCTGTAACTAAATGCAGTTTGTTATAGTTACCAGTCTTTTCTCTCAGTGTATATACACTGCATATACATTTCATATACATGAATTACGGTACATAGTACAGGATATTTCAGATCATCATACTCAAACTTCGCAAGAGCGTAAAACGGATTGAGGTGAACATAAAAGTCCCATGCCGTTTTGCGATATTCATAATAAATCTCGAGATATTAATTAAAGAAAATTGGTGAATGATTACGCGCGATATGGTAGATGAGTTATAGTATCGCCGTCTACGATTGTATACTTATACATTAGATCAAACTGAACAATAAAGTTCTCTACCGTTTTGCAAATTCATTATTACGATTTTCGTAAAACGGTATTGGACTTTTTTGTTCATCTCAATCCCCACAAAAAGTTGTGAAATTGTCTGTATATAAGGTGTCTCAAAAATAACAAACGTGGTGAAAAGAACAGATAAAAGGGGTCAAAATAAAAAAAGTCATGTACCACTTTTCGGAAATCGCAATAGTCATTGAATTATTAATTAAAACGTCTGAGCCAATGAGTACACCAGTGGCAGTAGATCGGACGCGAGAAGAAAATACAATGGCTTACTTCTTAAATATACGTAGTAGCGATATAGATATTGAGAGTTTGATGGATTGTACGTATTGCGTTAAAGAAGACTTAAAGCTAAATTTATTCGTAACAAACTTAGTATAAAATACGTCGCTAGTTTTGAATGCGTCTGTTTCCTTCAGCAATTATCGAAAACTGACCGGAAAATTCCTATCTGCGTCTCCCATATGTTCGAACAGGAAGT